TTCAAAAGTTCTGATTTAACCTTTAAATATGTATGTTTCGTCCATTTTTTTTAGGTTGTGGCTCTACGATCAGTAGTCCAGCATGCCAAGAACAACTGGTGGAGGCCGCCAAGCTCGTCGCCAAGTCTGTGGAAGGTGTTGTTGATTCATCGCAGGTACGAACGGCAATATAAATTTAAATTTGTGTCTCCTTCTGATCAAGCATTGATTTAATGTAGAAATGTTGTAAGTGGTCGGGACTGATAATGTTCACATTTGACCTTCATTGTTGTTGTTCCTTTACGATATCTCACAATGTTACAATGTTACATCAAATCAATGTTTGACGCTTAGAGTGTCCATCATTTCTCTCATACGTAAACCATTTTAATTTGTCAGTCAAATTTTTGTGATTTTTTTATATTACCCTAAAATTTCATATTTATAGCGGGCGGCAGTCACTAGCTTACATGCAAGAATTGAGTCTTAAGCTACGATAACACCCACTAAAAATGCAAAGGCTCATGGGTAGACGCTTGTTTGTAAACAATGTCATAGTTGTCTGCTGCATGTGCAGATTATGACTCCATCTTCAACATTCTTATCCCATCACTATCATTCTTTGATGCAACTTGACTTGATTGACTGTCCAGATGGGTTAGGCTTATCATCAGATTGGTCTGTAGTGGCACTCGGCTGACGAACGCAATAAATTCAACACCATCTTCAATATAATCATAGGTTTCATAGATTTAAAATAAATCTGTACCATGTTTAGTCTATTAGTAGTGCATATTAACAATCCTGTGTCTAACACATGCATGGAGATGCATTTCTATCAGAACAAATACAGTATATCAAATTTATGGAATTCTACGACTGAGATTTTTGGGAATTTCTGAAGTTTAATATTTTATTTACAGACTGCATGTGAGGATGAAGATCTTCTGAAGGGGGTTGGTGAAGCGGCGACCGCAGTGACCAAGGCGCTAAACGATTTATTACAACATGTTAAGAAAGGTACCAGTAAACCCAGTCAGCCGGCGGATAAATATGATGCAGCCTGTGATACTATCTTGACTGCCACTGATAGACTATTCAGTAGCATGGGTGACGCTGCTGAAATGGTCAAACAAGCTAAGATTTTAGCAATGGTAAGGCGAATTATTTGTTTTTTTTCATACTCATTCAAATTATAAAAAATTTCACTTCCTGTTTCTAATGTCACCTCCTGTTTCTGATGTCACTTCCTGTTTTTGATGTCACTTCCTGTTTGTTTTGATGTCACTTCCTGTTTGTTTTGATGTCACTTCCTGTTTGTTTTGATGTCACTTCCTGTTTGTTTTGATGTCACTTCCTGTTTGTTTTGATGTCACTTCCTGTTTTTGGTGTCACTTCCTGTTTCTGATGTCACTTCCTGTTTTTTAGTCACTTCCTGTTTCTGATGTCACTTCCTATTTCTGATGTCATTTCCCATTACAAAGAAAATAACACAATCATCACCTTGTGGAACTAGCTTTTCAAAATGGCCACTGTATCTAGGCAACCATCCAAATGTCATAGCTGCCAAGTGCCATGTTACACTTTGTTACTTGTTTATTTGTTGCTAGGCAACTTCACAGTTAGTTAATGGTATTAAAGGGGAAGCCGAAACTGCTGACGACGGTGATCAACAGAAGAAACTTTTAGGGGCAGCTAAGATGTTGGCTGATGCTACAGCGAGAATGGTAGAGGCAGCAAAGGTAAAATAAGTTTAAATCTATAGCCAGTAGTTCTATAGCCAGTAGTTCTACAGTCAGTAGTTCTACAGTCAGTAGTTCTACAGTCAGTAGTTCTACAGTCAGTAGTTCTACAGTCAGTAGTTCTACAGTCAGTAGTTCTACAGTCAGTAGTTCTACAGTCAGTAGTTCTACAGTCAGTAGTTCTACAGTCAGTAGTTCTACAGTCAGTAGTTCTACAGTCAGTAGTTCTACAGTCAGTAGTTCTACAGTCAGTAGTTCTACAGTCAGTAGTTCTACAACAGACTGCTAGAAATTTTCAATTAAAAATGCCTCTTCACTGATAAACCCAAAAAAAAACAAGTATGGTTTGTCCTACACAAAGTGTGCTGGTGATATTCATGATGCCAAACTACTACTATTATTGTGTTCGGCTAACAGCTTTTGAAATTGATAAAAATGTTAATTTATTTTTATTTTGTTTAATGATGGTGCGATTTTTAGTTGGTGATGTCATTGTAGTAGTAAACACATTTGAGTTTGTTTCCATGCAGTGTACAATGATATTGACAAATTTCCTGGCCCCATATGACAATCATGAGCGAAATAACGAGGATAATATATGATGTGTGGTAAAACATTTTGTTTCAATTAATTGTTGATGTACACGCAATCTTTAATTTTGTTGTCACCTTTTAACGGAATTTTATTTTTAATATAATCCGTGGAATTGTTTTATCAGAATCTGTAAGCTTTGCCAAATATTTGTCAAAAAATATTAAACAAGCAACATGAAAATGAAAACTCAATTTATCACTATTTCAGTCATTTTTTTCTTTTGCAGAATATACTTTCTGCAAAAATACACCATTTTTCAGTACTCCCAATTGCAATTTGATCATGTCAGTCATAACTGACACAAACATTTGAAAAAAAGTTCAAGTTCACCATTTTTTTTTTTATTTCATTCTTTGTCAGGCGTGTGCCGGGAATCCAAATGATCCCGTCCAACAGCAAAAACTACGCGAAGCAGCAGAAGATTTACGAGCTGCAACAGACATTGCCGCCAGCAACGCATTGAAAAAGAAACTTATTGGTAGACTTGAGGTAACTATACAATGAATGAGTTTGTCCAATTTTGAAAAAAAATATAGTTGTCCATGTTTGTTTATAGTTTATTTACTAGTGAGACCATTCTTTTTTACTCGAAGATGTGAAGTTGCAGTTATCGGCCATGTAAATGTTTATAGTTTCTACCTGTGAGGGCGCCCTTTATTATTATAATACTGTAAAATACCTTATTTATGTTTGGAATTAATTTTTGTTGAAGGTATGATTCAGTGAAAATAAAATCCATCGAATTTACCCTTTTCGCATCTTTTACATTCAACTTGTT